GTCGCTTCCCCGCGGAGAGACGATTTGTCGGAGGCACGATGAAAGAGAGCCTCCATGACGGGGGCGTCGCACCCGGCAACTCGGCACAACAGTTCACTTATGCAATCGACACACCCGGTGACATACCAAGCAACCACAACAACCTCAACAACATCAACAACATCATCAACAACAACAACAACAACAACAACAACAACCATTACTCCGATAACGCCGAGGTCAGCCGGTTTCGCGGTCAGACGGTGAGAAACTCGTGTCAACGCGCCAGCATGTACACACAAGAGACTGGAGGGCACGGATTCTCGCTCAGCGACCAGGTGAGATGCGACCTCTCCGGCTTGACGGGTCCGCAACCGTTGACGCCGCCGCAGTTTTCACCGCTCCCCGCAGCTCAGCTGCCTTCGCTGCGCCCGGCGCCGGTCAACGAGCCGAGAGAGGGTCGCCGGGATCCCCCGGGACACGGGGCCGCGGCGACATTGGCCAGACGTCTGTTGGCCGGTCGTCATGTTCACGCGATGGCTGACGGACCCGCCGACCAAGTGCCGCTGGACGCCGGCCCGACGGCCGACTCCCTCACCGGCCTCAAGACCTGGCAACTGTTGGCCGGTGAGTTGAACCAGCCGAGGCCGGAGCCGACGACCGTCGGCAAGACGGCCTTCCACGCCAGACAGCAGATGCGACTCTCGCAACCGCTGCCATCACCGCCACCGCCACCGCCGCCACCACCACCGCCGCCGCCGCCACCGCCACCGCCGCCGACGCTTCCGTTGCAGACGTCGACGTCGACGCTGAGGATGGCGACACCATCGGCGACGGCGACGCTGCTGACGAGACCACAATTGGCTGGCCTCACGCGCAGCGGAGCCTCGACGAGCGCCATTCCTCTGACCAGCTACCGACAAGTGATGAGCCAAGTGGACGACGAGGCCGGCTACACGCTGCCTCCAGCCCACAATGTTGCGGGTGAGGCAGACAATGGACTCACTAGCGGAGCCTCCTCCCTTCAGGCACCACCGCCTCCACCCCCTCCTTTTCCGGCACAATTTGCTCTACCGCCCGAACCAACCGGTATCCATGGCCCGGCCTATAATTCGGGTATAGCCAAGCTGGCCGGAAACACATACATCATGGACCAGCAGGCCTATCTGCCGGAAGAGTCAGCCTCACATGTGCGAGTGATTGGCGAGGCGGGTCGTCTACGCGACGCAGGCACCGGCGGAGGAGCTGTTTATATGGGCCCAGTACAGGCAATGAGACAATCTACTGGTCGTCCGAGGTCCGAAGAAGGAGCCCGAGACTCAGGACTACTTTTTCAGGACAGTAAGTAGTGCACTGGATAACGCTGTACCGGTTTTAATCAGGGTCAATTTTCCACACTGTTACATTCACTTTTTCTCTATCATAGAGACAAAATGCTCATCTAAATAGCCAGACGTGTGTCTGATTTTATTCTACGGAGGGATGGTTTATATATATATATAAATATAAATATAAAAATAAAAATAAAAATATATAAAAAGGGTGATGTTAATCACCAAAACTTGGTGACAGAGAACAGACGCCATTTTTGCAATTATATATACTTTGAGGCATCACTGCTAGTTTACGTACATATATGATCACATGCAGGCACGTACACATATACACACCCGCACATGCAGACACAGGTATTCACATCCTTTGAGGTTGACTTATGCCTTTGAATAGTCAAACTATTATATGCCTCATCAAATAGCTTGGATACAGGAAATATATTCAGCATTTAGGGATGTGTCGGTGAGTTTTATCTACTCGTTAGCTTAAATATGATTGTAGGGATGATATAATGCTCTGATGCCATACGTCATGCGAAGAATGACTCTAAATGGAATTAAGCTCAATGACTTCATAGTCGTTGGACCATACTTGTTTGCGCTGTTTTCGAAGAAATCCTCCCCAAATGCTTTGAAAATGTGATGAGCTTTCATCCATCATATGAAGGACATATCCACGGTAGGATATCATTCTTACGATCATATTTAAGCTAGCGAGTCAAAAACACTTAATTCAAAGCTGTAGGCACTCTGCTAAGATTATTACCAAGGGAAATGGATTGCGAAACGGGAATTTC